ACCGGTCCTTCTCTGCCTCTCAGATCTCACACATGCGTACCTTCGCCAGATCTCGCACATGCGCACCTTCAGCCGCTTCACTGCAGTCCTTAGGAGCGAGATCTGAGAGACAGAGAAAAACGTACAGTAATAGGATACATACAAGGGTGGGCCGGACGGGTGAAAGATGCATGTTTTTCTGGGCACAGCACCATTCTATCTCTATCCATACCCCGGACTGCAGCACCCGCCCTATAAGACGACACCCGGCGTATAAGACGACCCCCGACTTTTGAAAACATTTTCCTGGATTAAAAAGTCGTCTTTTATGTCGGAATATACGGTATATTCGTGCTACATGTTTCGAATTGCATCAAGTGCCATTGCTCTGTCAATTAACTGTTCGACAGTATTAGAGTTCTGTGTAACTAAAGTAATTTGCAATTTTTCTTCGGTAATGTCACCAATGATCATTGAAATTCGATTTGGCTGTGAGATAGTAAAAGGAGCTTTTTCCAGGAGAGCGTCTCTTACAATTTTTACAAATAAAATATAATTTTAAAATATATATTATATTCACTGAATTACTGACACAATGATATAGCGCGAAATTATGCCATTACTGTGAGAGGTGACACAGCATTTGCTTGCCTGAAGTGTAGTGTTTTACTCCCGTACATTATACTTTTCCTGTTAGCAATAGAGTCATGCTGGCTATGTATCTAATTCCGTTCGGGGTAAAATTTTTGAATTGAAATAACGTGACTTGCGGTACAAATCGATACAAATCGTGCAAAAGTTCATATATAGTTAATCTGGTCCTCTTTCTCTTACGATTTCCACGTCTGGAGTAGACACTACACATGAAAATACATTTGCACTAGATTTATAAAATTTTAGTTGCGTAGGTTTTGGGAACTTTAGGGGAATTTTAAAAGGGATATATCTCATACAACTTTTTGCGACTTCTATTAATATTCATTCATGATCAATAAAATATTTCATGATTTTCTTAGTGTGTGATCTCTGTTTGATAGCCATTAATATTGATAAAATTAAAACTCCGTTAATTATTGCATTACATACAGATTATTGTGCTCTATAAGTTACTATTATATTTAAACTAACATTAATTATTCTTTTACTTATAAATAATGATTAAAGCTACATTTAATTTGTTTAACTCTTTCAGCCCTGTGGGGACCTAAGATGAGCTTTTTTTTTAGCCAAGCCTGTTGTGGGTCCAATAAATTCAAATGGACACCCACCCGAAAAATTCTTAGGGTTTACGACCCATTTGGACTCGTTCTCGGGTCTTCTGCAGCGGTAGGTGTCAACTCGAGTACTACATTTATACAAATGGCTAGTTCTAATGCAATTTGTATAAGCCTCTGCCATTATGCAATCAGTAGGGAAATGTAGGGAAATTAACAGAAAAATGTAAGAAATAATTAAAATTTTACCCCGCAACCACAGCTTTGATGCGCCAATGTCTATGTTGACCATTCACAGGTCATATAAAACATACGAGTCAAAAAACAAAAACGTCCATGTGTGGTTGTGTAAAGGAAAAGGAAAGTTGGAAAGTTCAAACGAATTCCTGTTTGAACTTTCCAAAACACAACATAACATTAAAATAAATGAATTTACTTGAAATCAGTAAATTTTATTTTTTATAGTTGTATTTATTAGAAAATAGAAAAATTTCAATTTTTAAAGTGAAATAATTGAAATCGATTAATGTTATGACGTAACGCGTCAGACAGTTACCTATTGTTAGAATGCATTGTTGGATGATTCCATTGTTGGCGCCTTTTTGTTAAAGGAGAAAATACGGAATCGCGAAGAAAAGTCGAAGAATCGTTAGGGGAGATCGGGGCAAGATCGGCATGTTAAGCTTTACTTAAATTTTGTGTAATAAATACTGCTGTAAACTGAAAAAAAAGCTTTGCATATTGTCTATTGGAATGTTACCTNATTTTGCGTGGTTATATTAAGTATGTTTTTTAAATCAACATTTTCTAATTTAATTCAATGTACAATCATTTATAATGAATAACATACTGCTAAATTAGAGATAGTATTTCTCTGTAAAATATGGTAAAATTAATCACTTCTATGTAAACACGGTGTCTACTTAAACATCTATGCAGAGGCAAAAGAGATCTTTTCAACATTCCAGAAATGTATTCATTTAGTGCATGTTTATTCCAGTTTGGAAATAACGAAAGGGAATTAATTTAGATCATTTATCATAAAATATAACACGCAAATAATCTCTTACTGTAAAGGCTAAAGACAACATCGCAGAAATCGATAAAATGAAGTGAGCTTTATTTTGTTAGAGAATATGTTCGAAACGTCCACCGTCAGAACTAATACCAAAACGTGGACAGTACAGCGTGGCGGGTTCAGTAGCTTCCAGGTTCCACCATTTTACAGACTTCTTGTATGCATTTTTTCAATTCGTCAATTTCACCCGACAGTGTCGGGTAGGCATCATACACAGGACTTTCAAGCGATCCCATAGAATAAAATCTAAAATGGTTATATCTGGGAAAGTAGTTTGTGTTGTTTCGCTTGTTTTATAATAACTTTGAAGGATGCAATCGAAGCAGTGGCGGTCCTAGCCAGGTTTTCAGGTGGTGCGAGATCTCATTGTGGAGCTCTCGTGTAGTGACTAAACTGTACATTTTTCACATTATTAATAACTCAGATTTCCGAAAGATTAGTATAGTAATACTATGGATGAGAAATGATAAGACGGTAAATGGAGAGTTAACTTGACCCTTGTTAATTCAGACGTATCGCAAGCTATTGACGTTTTTTCCCCTCTGTCGATGGAAGCTCTTAATTTTAGGTTATGGAGATATAGCACACATTTCAGCATCATGTTTTATATTCTCACAACCCAGCTCACTCTTGTGTAAAGTCTATAGCATAGTACTGGTATGGATGAGGAACAATAACAGTGAAAAAAAAACAATATTTCTTTCATAAGGCAATATTCATAACAATTTAAACTGCTATGGCACAGACAACGCTCATCTCACGCAAAAGACAAATTTACATCGTAAATTAATTTAAAATTGAAAGAAATTAAGAAAAAATAAAAAATAAAAAGCCTACATTGCCACCTTCCTCGCTTTTGCGGTTGCAAATATTATTAATTCAGAATAATTTAATTCCTGGGCAATACTACTTTCGATAGATAAAATTGCTAGATCTGACAGTCTATCCTGACACACCCACGGAGGTCCAGTCACGACTAACACGTTCTTTTTCTCTTATCGGTCCTCGAACCTTATGTTCTTGGAACTGGTGGTCCATTGTCTTCAGTTCTTGGAATTGGTAGTCCCACCCAAAGGAAATTAAGGAAATGAAAAGAAAGTTCTAGAAAAACAGAGAACAAAAGGAAATAAGGAAATAAATGTACAAATATCCCGTGTTTCTTTATGCAGCGAGAGTGTAGCGAAATGACGTCACGAGCAGTGTTGGCCAATTAGAAACCAGTTTCAGTGTGTTCGCTGTAAAGCGCTTCTCAAGCACTGCGTAAAGAAACGCGGGGTATTGGTTTCTTTAATCTTGGTATTTATTTTGGCGGTATGGTTAAGTAGTAATAAGGTGATTGGGTTTTATATTTTTCGCGGACGATCTATCGTTGCATTTTCGGCGCCCCCACTATGACGGCGCCCAGTGCGGTCGCACCGTTCGCACCGCCCTAGGGCCGTCCCTGAATCGAAGTATGGAAAGTTTGTCGGCGATATGGAAATAAGTAAATGAAATAGACAGCGCTAGAAGTAGTACCGCACTGATTGGAAGTTGCACTAAAATTAAATTAGAAGAATGCCAAGAGGATCCACTTCTTGGTCATATAAGAAAATAAAGAGACATCATTAAAATTAACTCGCTTACGAATCACTAAATATGGAAGAATAAGAAAACCGGACCAAATACAAAAACTCCGCTAAACAAAGTTTATTCCTACCCCCAGTACCTGGTTACAGCTCTACACGCCCAAAGTTAAACGCCAAGTTTTCGTCCACGAGAATCGCCCGCAAAAAGAGAAGCATTTAGTTAATACGTATTGAAAGAAAAGAAAATATTTTATNTCAACAAGCCACCAATAAAACTCAACTGCCTAACCTATAACCAAAGTTTCCTTTTAATTTGTTTTTTAAAAAAAGCGCTTGACAAACTTGCCCCGCATGCCGAAGTTGCCCCGATCTCCCCTAACGTTAAACAAATGTTATTCAAGTATGAGTTAGAACGAATGAAACTGCAAGTGATGTTAATCACGTGTGGAGTTGCATTCTTTTCAACTCTCGGTGCAACTCTGACGCAGCCACCTCCCCGTGGTTAGTTTTGGGTTGCCATTCGTTTGGAAATAACAAAGGGCAAGCGAACAGTTGAGTGTTTTCGTTTATTTTATTATTACAAAAAGGGATTAAAATAAGCCAATGCACGTAAGAATAAAGAAGTAAGAAGCAGTTAATCACTTGTCCATGACAGATATAACACTCTATCGCTCCCAAGTGGTAAAAATAAAAGAAAAGATGACTGTGGCATCACCAATTCCGATTTTTTAAACTTGTGTTTTTAATTAGATATTTTTTGTGTGTGTTTTTAAAGAAAGTTTTAATTTTGACGGCCAAGCAGCCTACAGAGAAAAGTCGATTGTCAAACGTTTGTATTCCGGAACATTAAAAGTGAACAAATAGTGATTGTTTTTTACACAAACTTTGTCTTCAATTTTATTTTTAAACATAATTGCCATCCGACGAAATTCTACAATTAACAATTAATTTTTTCTTTCGAAATTCCAATACAAATTAAGAAAATTACACCAGAAATTACGTTAAGATTTTTTCATTCCAGATAAATAAATGACGTCTTATTGGATTATACCGATCATTTACTTATTTAAAGATCATTTGAAGTTCGATTCATTTCACGAAAAACAACGATCTTCTTTGTTCTCTAGTGTCCTTTTAATAACAAAAAATAGATTTATCCTTTAACTTCACTTATTAAAACAGATATAAGTACTTATATTCAGGGTTTCTTTTAACAAGGATATTTCTGTGATATTTATTCTCGAAGTTTCATCGCAACGTATTAATAAACACGTTCAAGTTACCATAAAATACATTTGTCAACAGGATTCATAGGTTTATCGTTACCGCATTTAAATGCCTCTGAAAATTCTTTCATGTTAGAAACTGTTCCAATGATCCTAAAATTGAGAAAGAAAAAAATTCAAATAAATGTTGATTTTCTTAATATTAATTTGTTTTGTAATATACCTGAATTTCTGTGGACTGTGTTCTTCTAAATTCATATAATATTTTAATTCGTCGCTTGTTTCTGAATCACACCACATCTGTAAAGAATTTCATATAATTTGGGTACAACTATATATTATTTGTATAAAAATATTATACATAATTCTTACAGTTGCGTATGATATGAAAAACATTTGATCCGGAGTATACATTTCGAAGTCTTCAATAATATCCTTTCCTTCATTTTTATATTTCTTTAAATACGCTTTATATGCCTATGATTAAAAACATGGTTTATAGGCATATAAAGGTTTCTGAAGTAATTAATAATTAATTTAGAAAACTTTAAATATTGTGTCTGAATTACTTACAAAATATGCGTGTCTCAAGCCGCTATTGTCTGCTATGTTTTCATCTTTTGTATTATTACCATTCATCTGCAATGAAGTTAGGCTATATAACTCAGTAAATATTAATTTTTGTTAAATAACGAATAAATACGAATATTAAAAAATTAATATAAAATATCCTTTCTGTTAATATAATGATATTTTTAAAGTCATACAAATTAAACAACTCACATTATTTCCTTCAATTTCATAGGATCCATACTGATCAACCAAGCATTTCACCCTTTTATTATATTCCATAAGTGATTCTTCTGACCATGTGACATTAATATTTAAATTTCCAAGTTTGTCTGTACGAATATCTAATTTATGGAAATAAAATAAGTAGTTTTATTAATTTGTTTAATCAAATGTAATCAAAACTTAATGTTGAAAGTTAGAATATTTCTATGCACTTATGCAACAATACGGTCAGTAGATGAGCTCCTCTGGTATCATAGCAACTTTGTTATTTCTCTTTCTTCTAAATTAGAGTTGCATTAATCACTTAGAATGAGTGTGGGCAACATGTTCTAATTCACAATAAAATCATCTTCGTGCGATAAAAGTTATCACAGAGAATTGATTTATTCTTATTTTATATTATTTATTAAAGTTTATAATAATTTTAAAAATTGGTCTTTATAAAAACAAATCTTTATGGAAAAAGTTAACAATAATTTCATGAAATTTGTGAATTTATTATTTTAGATTATAGGTATTGAAGAATTAAATGCATAAAAAAAATGTGGATAAATTAAAACTTACCTTTTGTATCCAGAGAATGGGTAATTTCATGTGCTAACATTGTACCATACCGGGCAAAATTTGCGTATCTAACCATAAATAAAATAAAAATTATTTATCTTCCATTACAGGTTTTAGCTTTGTAATTCCAGAAATGAAACTAAGCATTTGAAGTTATAGAAGAAAGTTGAAGATGGATGGCATAAATAAATATAAAATTCTCAAAATATNTATCTTCCATTACAGGTTTTAGCTTTGTAATTCCAGAAATGAAACTAAGCATTTGAAGTTATAGAAGAAAGTTGAAGATGGATGGCATAAATAAATATAAAATTCTCAAAATATTGTACCATATTTCTAGTAGTTTTCTGTGTTTTATTTCGTTCGTTTTGATTGCTTTAATATTATAACATTAACATTATTGTCTTTTATCGTTACAAGCTCTGGCTACTCTTGTTATAGGCTATATATACTTTGAATTTATACAAACTCAAACATTATGATATAGAAAAAAACTATAACTCTAAAATTTGAATAAAATTATATAAAGTATTGCATCTGAAAATATGCATTACAATCCACACAATAAATTACATATTTTAGAATGATATTTATTTTACAAAAAGGGTGCCATACTCTGCTTCTGATGATATTATTAAAGATAATTGTCTATTTAAAGTAAAGTAAAGCTAAAAATAGTCATTCTTCCATAGTGAATCATCAAAACTGAGGAAAGCAGGCAAAACATAGTCGTTTATACGTGTAGAGTTTGTAATATCTCGAATGATCATTTCACAATACGTTCGATAAAACATTCACGTAGACTAACCATTAGTGAACGAAAAGAGTATCTGATTTTATATCACGTTAGAAATAGTCAATTCTGCCATTTTTGATAATGTGTTACAACAGCACGTTTTGTTTTTATGTTAAATTTGTGTTTTCCCACTAAATAAACGCGAATACAATTACTCTAACTCAACCAATAAATACAGTAGACCCCTTATAACACTGTTGATAAGTCTGTGTTATATGAATTCCATGTTGTACGAATCACTTAGATTTTACAAATACGTGAGCCTTTTACAGCTCGGCATATAACACGGAATTATCAACAGTGTTATTGGGTGGAGTCTACCGTATTTTAGTAGGTCTACTTCTTTCATCAATTTATAAACTTATCTTTATCTGAAATAGTTTACTATAATTAAAGTATATATAGTTAAAGATAATATATAACAAATGTATTTACATTACTTACATAGGGAAATTAATATTCAATATGGATTTACTTTGAGAAAATTGAGTCATAACTGAAATATAATGAAATTCTTACATGCAAGTAGTAGTGGTTTGACACATACTTATCACAAAATTAATACTAGAATTAATTATTTTCTTGATGGATATTTGTCTTAATATTCTGGTACATGACAGTTTGAAATAATATAACACTGAAATTATTTTGAAAAGGTTTTTATTTTTATGTTACAGCTTATATAAGTGTTTCCACTTTTTCCTTCAGTTTATCTAAAGCAAGACATTTCTGCACCTAATAATTTTTCAGGATATAAATTATTTTCAGATCAAAAATTTCTCGATTAAATTAAGATTATAAATATTTAGAAAACTTTTTATTTCATTTTAGTTTTTATAAAATATCTTG